TCCACTTCATGCTTGCCTGACATGTCGATTGCATCTACACTTAAGACTGAGAAACAACATATAACAACAGAGCATTATCACTCTAAAACAATAGTATATATATTATAAGCAAAACAATTTCCTGAAACCAAAAGCACATGATTAAAAGCATCTAATACTAACCATCACAAGGTAAAGAAGGAAAGGTCATATTTATGTGAATGGGAAGAGTTTCTCCACGTTTCAAATCTACAGACATCTGTCATAATAACATAGTTAAACTACCGAAAAAATATTCTAAATGAATACGGTTCCAAGAATAGGAAAATATAAGTTAAACATTACAATGATAAAATCAAACTACTGGGTCACCATTAAATTGGTTAGACTCGTGGATAATCAGTATTAATAATTAAGCTGCTTTTAAGATACTTTAGATTCAATACTATAAAATCGATCCTCAATGCCTTGCCCAAGGAAATTACAACACCTAGTGCCTTATGGATACGAATCACATCCAACCTGATCTTGCCCAAGGATATTACAACACCTAGTGCCTTAAGGATATGAATCACATCCAAGCCACAGCATGGAATCTACGCAGAAGGCAAATGTTCACAACTGCTAAGCAAGATAGTTGTGCATAGGCAACACAGATGAGCTAGCATTCAACACATGCATGACAGCAGACAAATGTGCAGAATGAGGCATAGGAGAGGTCCTTAAAACTATGCCAAGGATCAATAGGGCTGACGTGGGAGTATGCATTGAGAATAAACATTCCTGTATATGTGTAAGTGTAAATAAAGGTTGAGTGTTGCCAATGCCACGTACTAGGCATGCATTCTAGGTGAAATTTGTACCACTTGAGCACGTATGTATGACTAGAACTTGGTTTCATTGCCTCAAGCTCAAGGTGGACTTTGCATTGGGAAACTAATTAGAGAAATGAGGCCATGTTAACAAAATGGATCAAGTGGCTCTATAATGATGGTGATTCTCTTTGGAAGACATTTATTTGAGCAGACTGGATGGATCACATATGGTTTCCCAAAAAGTACAATTACAGTAGCTCAAGAAGTCTATGGAAGTTGGGAGACCTCTTCAACCAATATATTGAAATTTTTGTTAAAGATTGACTACAAAACAAACAATGAGTAAGAGGTCGTCTAGGTCATTGATAGGAAAGCAAATCAACAATCAGTTTTTCCCTAAAGATAGGAGGAAGGCAAAAAGGTCTATGGAGTGGAGTTACTTGCATCCACACGGCGATGAGTACCATGTGAGAACTGTGGAGTCACTTACTAGAACTCCATCTTGCATATGCTAAATGGAAGAAAACAAAAATTAGAATGGAGAAAAATATGTCAAAATCTTTGCTAAAACAAAAATTCCTAAAACAGAGAGAAATATCTTTTGGGTTCTTGTCCAAATCTTTGCCTCGTCTGGGTGCTCTACTACGAAACCTTTTTTAATTATGGAGTGACTCAAATCTTCACCAATTGGGTTCCTTTTTGTAGCCTTTTGGTCTGCGGGGATATCTCATCTCCTCTTTTTTGTTTCTCTCTCTTTGATAATGAAAGTTTCTTTTCTTAAAAAAAAATAATAATAATAAATAAATAATAATAATGGAGAAAATATGGTGAGTCTACTAGAAGGGATGAGGCCACTACTACACAAACAAGAGGAGACATAATGAATGGTCACTGAGCCAATGGTACAAGCCAAATTAGGCAAGGGAAAAACAACCATGGTGGAGCCCTGTATTCAACAATGCTTCTTCTCAACCTCTCAAATTGAACGGTAAAAATCTCAATGTACCATCCAAATGATTAAATACTTTTTTTATACCTATATCACATTTTCCAACCCTAACCTTCTGACAACTTGTTCTCCGAAGAACGTTGAAGAATTCAACGAGAGACATTACAAGTCACTGTTACTGATAGGAGTGTTCATGGGTTGGCTTGGGTTGGGTTGAGGTGCTTTTTAGACACAACCCAATTGTTCGGGTTGAAAATTTATACAACCCGAACAACCTTTATTAAATAATAAACCCAACCCAACCCAATCATGAAATTTTTGGGTTGGGTTGGTTCAGGTTATTCAGGTCACTTATTCAAAATATTGTAAAACAAAAAAATTAAATGATAATATCTTGTACATTTATTTATATATTGTCTAACATGGAATCAAGATCTGTAAGTTGATGTTTGTTTATATGGCGAAAAAAGTACACTCCAAAAGCTGAAAAAAGTTGTTTTTAAAAGTCGTTGTAAAATAAATAATCCATAAAGATTTATTGAATGAAATAAAATTAAAATAGATATCACTATATATAATGTTAATGGTGAGAAAAAGAAATAGTTTAAAAATTAATAATAAGTTTGGGTTGGTTCGGTTCAACCTAAACTTATTTTAGGCAAACCCTTGAACCAACCAACCCAACCCTCGGTTGATTGGTTTTTATGAGTCATCAAGTTTTTTAAACACCCCCAGCTACTGATCCCATTTCAACCTAATATAGAAAGAAGAGAACTTCCTCTTTTCTTACTTTGAAACCAAACCCCAAGAACCATCAAAGGACCTGATAAAGAAGAGTTTATTTTCTCCACTATAGCTACAACCATCCCTATCTAACAAACAATGCCATTAACACCAACTAATGATAGGGTTGAAGGAAACTGAGAGGACTAAATCTGAGTGAGCATCCTTTCTCACACAAGTTAAACTAACCCTTCTGTTCAATTTTTTTCCCTCACTGACAATTAGAAAGCTTATACAGCAGGCATGTTTCAAGGTTTTGGATGTTCCACGGGTATTTGGTTGGGCTGCCAAGAATTATACTTTCTACCTACTACGTGGTCCTGGATTATTATGGATCAGTGTTGTCAAAGCAATTGTTAGGCATCTGGATAGAGAGGAATCTGTGCATATCCAAAGGCAAACAAGTTTATAGGGAGAGAAGTTTAGAAATTATTAAATATTATGCAGCTTCTTGGTATGTTCCATATAAGGAATTTAGCAACCCATATCCAAAGGCAAACAAGTTTATAGGGAGAGAAGATTAGAAATTATTAAATATTATGCAGCTTCTTGCTATGTTCCATATAAGGAATTTAGCGACCATTCTTCTAAAATAATTGATTCTTGTAGGGGTGCTTTATCAATATTCCTTAGGATTTCTCTTACTTGGGATGACTTCACGTAATACTACTAAGGGGAGTTCATTTAAACTCTTTAGTAACTCATCAAATATCAATAACCAAATTTTGCTTACGCTGCATGAAATAATGGACCAAAGTTTCAAGTCCCTGGCTATTTGTTTCATCAAGTACTCTTGTATCTTAATCTATCAAATAAATACAAAATCTGAAGGAAAATGTGATTGGGTGGCAAATAAAGAGGATGCAAACCTGATGAACAGTATAGGTGGAGAGATAATATCTCAGTTCGTGCAGAAAAAGTGTCGCCATTATGACCAATCCAATAACAGACACTGTCAACACAAATAAGAAAAATTATCAGGGGAACAGAAAAGAACAGAACAACTGAGCATATGTATACCATCTTAAAAAATATCCAAATGGGTAGAAGAGAACTCTTGCAAAATGAACAATCAGTTCGTTTGCACAATAATATAACAAAAGATTAAAGAAACACCCGCAACAAATGATAAAAAGGTGAGACTGCCATTTTTCCCCGAACTTAATATGCATTTAATTTTTCCACCATTCTGGCGATATTTTGAAATATAAAGAAAGGACAAATGTCATGGTTGGTTGATGGACATACAAGAAGAATGATTGGATCCGTGAACAAGCATAAAGTTAAATATAATGGGCATTGCACCAATTCTACAGTTCTAGTATGTCATTGACTCATTGTACAAGAACAGAAAAATTCTTATCGAGGGGAATGAATAGAATGTGCCATAAATTGCTAAAGGCAGAATAAAAAGCATAAATTGTCCAATAAAAAACATCGGGAAAGTAAAAATACAAAGAGAGAAGCATGGCATCTAATGTTACCTAGCGCCCCGGTTTGTGTTTTCTGCAACAAGTGCTCTTCCGCTCGAGGAAACGCATCCAGACTCTTTATAGTCTGCTTTAAACCCATCTTTACCTCCTATCATTCGATAAATTACGCAAAAAACGTCATAAAGGATAAACAACAATCTTTAACAAATATCTCGCACATCTAAACGGAGAAATTCCAACGAATTCCATCAACAGAATTGAAAATTCAGAATTCGGAAAGCGCCCAATACAGAGATAGAGAAAACCAATAAGACCCAGAACTCCAAATACATAAAATCCAGAACCTCAAAGATCCGTTTCGATTTAGAGATAGAGCTGGGATTTTCCGGGAAACCTTATTCCGTAGATTTTGAAAAGAAGAAAGAAAAAATTGGAGCAGAAATCAAACAATAACAACAGCAAGTAATGAAGAAAAGTACGAATCAGAGGTGTTGTACCGAATGGGGAGGGATGCAGAATAGGCGCGTTGAGAATCGAAGAAGTCCAATGTGGGGGATTTTGCTCGAGGAAAAAACCCAGCGATGGAATTAAGATTAATTTGTAAATAGATCATACACACCTTAGCCTGCGCCGAAAATATTAACCGTGCATTACCTTTTTTAGAATCGTAAATTCTGATCGTTTCCTTTGCAAAAAAAAGAAAAAATTCTGATCGTTTCAAAAAATATATACATACAATAATAATAAAATACATAAATAAACAATATATATATATATATATATATATAATGACCCCTCTAAAAAATTTCAATTACGAGCTCTGTCTGAGTTGAGCTGGGCTAAATTGACCCAAGGAAGTAACGGTCCCACCCTGCATACTTCAAATTTTGCAAGTTTGGTCCAACAACTCAAATATAAGTTGATTGGGTTTAATTCGATGAACTAAAGTTTGATCGACTTGGAATTGACTCATATAATAATTTAATTTTTAAACTCATGGAAATTGACTCATATAATAATTTAATTTTTAAACCCATGAAATTTAAATTCATTTACTTAATATTCGTCTTTTGTTCATGAGATGGATTAAAGTTGGATTTGTTTTTTGTTTTATGTTTTTTTAAAAAACAAAAATAATATACATGTGAAAACTGAAAACCAAACATATGTTTTATAGTCATCTATTATTTTCTATTTTTAAAAATTATAAAATTAAAATATATATTAGAGATAGAAAAACCTATATAAAATATTAGAGGTGACAACAATGTGAAGGTAGGAGTGAGGATGTCCTCTCCCACAAATTTTTTAATTCTCATCTCCAACTGGTTCTCTTATTTCCGGAATCAAGGCCCAAATGCAAGAGCCCTCATTTGGGGGTGAGGATGAGAAAAATTATTGGTTTAATAATTAATTTTAATATTTATATAATTTAAAAATAAAAAGTAATAAAGATATATAATTTATTTTATTTTACTAAACAGTTATTATTTACTCGTATAAATACTTAGATTAATATTTATTCACGTCAAAGCGAACATAGCTCAACAATAGTTGACATATATATCTAACCAAGAGATTGTGAGTTGGATAATTCATTATCACTCCTGAAGTGAGGACTTGACTCTACAAAAATTGTTGCCGTCTCTTGAGAGTTAGATAAAAGTTAGAAAAACAAATTAGTGAGAGAAAAGTTAAAGTTAAGAATGGAAAATTCTAGAGAGGGTAAAGTTGAGAGAAAAGAATGCGTTAAAGAAAAAAATAGAATGAGAGAGAAAAATTATAACGGAAACACAAATTAGAAAAAAAAAATTCAAAATGTATGTATTACATAACGTAAATAGATAGAAGGAGAAAGAAAAGTAAAGAAAATTGAACGAAAATACATTTAGATAAAGAAAAGATGAAGATATATTTCTTAGAGAATCAATGGACTAGAAGAAAAGTTATACAACATAAAATTTGATAAAGAAAAAAGTTCAGAAAAATTTAGACAGATAAAAAAAAGTGATATATTAGAATAGAAAAAGAAGAAATAAAAATATATGCAAATAAAAAACTTTGGAGAGGAAGAGAAATATTTTAGATAAGGAAAAATAAATTTTGTTAGACATTAAAATTTAAGGAGAAAAATAGTTTAGAGCGAGAAAAAAAGTTTTTTAAAGAAAAATATGTAAAACAAATCAAGTATTTGAATAAAAAAGAGATTCTCAAAAAAAACAAAAAAAGAATTTTAAAATCTGGCTTTTTTCCTTTTTATAAAATTTACCAAGGATTTTAAAATCAAAGGCAAAAAATTGAAATGGTTACCGAATTTGTTTTTCGAAACAAAGAAACTACAAACAAAATGAACAATGAACGAAAATTCAATTTAAATCCCATGCTGTGAAAGTGATAGAAATCTTAGACGAAACGTGTTAGAATATTATTGGATATGAGACACGTGCCTGTGCAACGTGGAGTTCCAGTAATTTGTGTGGACAAACCAACAAATATAGTATTATAATCTTATCCATCGGAAAAACGACACCCGAGTCATTGACTCAGTTCACAACTCACTATTTATTGATTCACCAGATTCGCCGGAGGCCCTTGAAAATGGGCGAGCCGTACGACTCCGATGACCGGAATGGCGCCGTGACGGTTGAGGAAGAAGATGGAGTCAGTTACAGTTCCAAAGGAGTGCGCAGTGAGGATCAGACCGTCTACGAGCCTCTCCGCCGTCTGATCGCTGAGATTTTCTTCCCCGATGAATTTAAGGGCACTTCTCTGTTTCACCGTGTTAAGCTTTCCGTCGCCGAGAATGGTCCGGCCGTTGGCCAGGCTTGCAGAAACGTAGGTCGCGATGTTCTTCGCTGGACTCGCAGGGGCAGTCCTCTTCGAGCTCTCCTTGTTATCTCCGTGAGTATTCCACATGATACCAAATTGAGATTGTCAATGCTTTTTTCTCATATAGTGAATGGATTATATACTTTGAATGTTGGAAATTTGGAATTTATTGCTCAAATTATTCCTTCTCTGTTGTTTGTTCATCTATGTTTGAAGGTTCCGGTTGATCTGCACTGGTTTTTTTCTTAATAGGAATTCATTTTCGTGGTAACTAATGTTATTTGTCTTGATCTGCTAGAGACTAGTCTTTTAATCTAGTTATAACAATTCCTGACCTAAGCAAACGACTTCGGAGAGGACTCTAGTGGTAGTGTTTTTGATGATTGGAGAAAAGATTTCCATCATTTTGTTTCGATCCATTTGCCAATAGTCTTACTTTGTTGTGCACATATTTGTAGCTGAACCAAAAAAGCCTTCAGTCTGTCTATTGTAACTCATTTCAGCCCACAAATGTGAAACATTGTCCACCCAACATTTGAAGTGAGATTGGCAGTTTGTTGTTGGAAAATAGAGATTTCATTAACGTAAACGTTAACGTTATGATTCCTGAACTTGTGACAAATGTTAGGTTTCGTGTGAGATAGATATAGGATCTTCATAGATACTTTTATAGTTGGAGACCATTTCTGAAAGATTGTTAAATTTCTGGATCCATATGAAGTTCCCTTACGTTATTTTGTGATTTCACTTGTTTCTTATTAGCGGTGTGTTGAGAGTTGTTTGTTCCTTTTGGCATTGTTATGGGTTGCTCGACCCCCTCTTTGAAAACTTCTGTTAATGATTTTTTTTACCATCTAAAAATATGATAAATCAGGAATAAATGATAGGAAGTGTTATTAATTAGTATTAAAAAAAAAAAGATAGGAAGTGTTATTAACAATTGAGAGAAGAAAATATTCTGTCGACCCTTGGAAGTCAAGGAGGGTGCAACTGTTGAAATGATATAAAACACAAGCCAAGGTTCCTAGAATAGTTTGGTACTGATGCTTGATGCTGGTCCTTTGACGCTTTTATTTGTTTTGATCTGTTGCAAGATTTTCGTTGCACTTATTCCCTCCACACACTAACGCAGACTGATGCCCATTTTTAGTCCTCCCCCCTCTGAGCACCCCTTTAAATTGTTAAACATTTGGAATTGCTGCAGGTTGGGACTATTGCTCTTCTTGCATTGACGGGATTGCTCATCTTTCTGCTATTCTTTCTGGCAGCAACTCTGAATGCCATTATCATTTCTCTTCTCGTTTCCTTGGCTGCAGTTGGAGGCTTCTTGGCTCTTTTCTTTGCCTGTGTAACGGCTGTATACATCGGAGCCTTAACAGTTGCTGTGTTTGTTATATCCACTGCAACATTCTCTGCAATTGTAGCAGTGTTGGTTGCCACAGGTAACAACTATACATAGACACTTATCTAAATTATATTCCTTGAAAATCTCTATATTGTATTAACATGAATCTCTACGTACTGGTTTGACATGGTCTGGGTTTCTCAAGGAAAAAATGAGTATGTAGTTCAAATATCTGCATCGATGTGTTCAGCTTTCTAGCTTGTTTCTGCTCTCTCTTTCATTGAGGGTATTACGAAAGTTTAAGACTCATGTCGCTGCTCTACCAAACAATTTGGATGGTTTCCACCAAAGAATTTTTGCCTTCAATTCCTAATTAGGTAGTTTGTGGACTTTGCTCTCCACGGTGCTATCAGAATAATAGGTTTCATGCTATGTCAATCAATCTCGGCGTAAGCACAGCATGCCATACACTAATCAATTATATGGCTTTTATAATTCTACAATTCCCACTGTTTTTGTTCCTCTTCATAGGAGGATTAAACCTTGTGGCAATTATGCACTGTTTAAATTTATTTCCTTGCTCTGAAAATTCAGGTTGGATTGGGTTCTTCTGTGTGGTTTGGCTGGCAGTACGGAGAAGTTTTGGCTTTGCTAAGCAGTCATTGAGCGCAAGCAGTTCAGCAATTTCGGCATTTTCTTATGCTAGGCGTGCTCACAAAGACTAGGTAATCTTATAGATAAGGAATTAAATGAATGCTGCAAGTTGAGATTTGTTATTGCTTGAAACTTTTTGGAAGATCTGCTGCATACGTTGTGTTGAGTTTGAAGGCCTAGGTAGTGTGTTCTTAACGTGTATTTGTTATGTAAATATTCCTTTAAAAGTTTGAGTTTTAAGTTGCATTATAAATAATACTATTTTATGTGTTCCTTTGTTAGTGATGGAAGTATCAATATTGAAAGATGGAGCTTCCGAGAAATATTATCATAATTTAAGTAAAATACCAACTTTAAGCTTCTTCTACTATGTACAGTAATTGTGAAAAATTAAAAGGACTAAGATGAAAATTTAATGTATAGTTTGTACGAGTTTTTCTTTTCTTTTAATAAATAAGTTATATGTCGGTTTCGATTCTTCGTCCTGATTATCAGTTTTGATGAACCGACTCCAACTGAATTAGTGGTTAGACCAGCTGACCGACCAATGGTCAGTCGAGTTGATTTTTTGGAATTTTTGTTCAACCCTATCTCAGGGATGAATCTTAATCTTGATACTGATCTTGAATTATACGAACCTTGTTTTTGAATCAAATGTCTTATACATGATGAGCATTATACATAACAAACACGAATGCTCCTTTTTCTGGTTGTACTTTTTTAATCAAAAGAAGTTTAAAAGCCAACATATCAACTATTTCTAATTATGCAAAACATCTCTAACTAAATATGTTGCTACTTGCTAGTCTGTTGGTTTCTTCAAAGCATAGTCCAATTTTCAGGCACTAATTTTTGGTGGATCACCTCTAATTTGTGCCCCGTTGCAAGAGTTCAAAACAAGAAGTTTCTGTTTGGAGGGTGTGTTAATTTCACTCATATGTTTAGCAGAATAAAACTGTTAGCTATATTGTTTCGCACTTTCAAGTATTTTCTTGATTTCTCCAATTTCTAGAAACCTTATTGATAAGGTCAAATATCCCATCAAATAATATATGAGAGAAAAGGAGCGAGTTAATAAATCACGACATAATTAACCTAAGTTGCATTAAGCATATTGAAGGATAAAGCAACAACATCAACAATGAAACAATGAGATGGATCTTACCAGACTAAGGTTGTGTATAGTCCTAAGAAGTCTTACGTTGGTTACATTATTTTTTTGGTAGAATCAAGAATGAACTTCAAATATCACATATAAACGAACTTGAAATGAGGCTTATCGTGTTAAAAAGAGTTAGATTTTTTCGATTTTTTCTAATGAGATGATTGGTAAAGAAATATTTTCAAGTGAAGCACTTATTTTATAAGAACGTTTAAGAAGGAAACGCCTAAGCAACTTTTTAAGTATTTTTAAAATGTTAAAATCACTTTTCATTCTTCCAAAAGGTTTTTCAAACCCACCTTAATGTATATGGACAAAATCAACACATCTAAATACTAGCTAGTGGCTAGAAAATAGTGAGGGTTGTTAGGATAGTAAGAGCACTGCATAGGAAGGATTTGAGTAGGAAATAAATAATTATAAAACTTGTTTTGTTTGGATTATCATCTATAATCTTCTAAAAGTCTCAACTTTATCTATAATATATATGTATATATTATTATTATTTTTTTCAATCAAGTGTTTACTAAATATTACTCATATTGAATAATGATGTGACATCGCGACAAATATTCAAAAAAGTAGAAAAATACAACCTCTAACAAATATTCCTTAAGAGGTACGTAATGGTGGTGGGAGGACGGCCATTATTATAGGTAGCCGGCCCATAAAATTAGGCAAAAAATTCATAAAATCATAGGCATGTTTTAGAAATGTTTTCAACAAAAAAAAAAAAAAAATTACCATTCATGATTCAATTATGATCGAAATTATATCTTACTCTTTGTAATCTCTTTTCTTTGAATTAATTAGTTTACAAACATTGATTGAGATGGGCTGTTGAAAATCCTCAACCAATCTAGCAACTCTTTAACCACAAGAAAAATAAATCTTTTTATATTGAAAAAGTTTGAAGATGTGAGAACTCAATAAATGGCCATGTTTGATCATTTACATTGTAATAAATTCAACCCAATATCTCTATTTGCTTTTAATGCAAGTAATTGGGGAAAAGGACTATGTCTCACACACAAGTGTCAAAAATTGGTATATAGTTTAGGACCTTTAGCATTCAAATAGATATTCTCAAATCTTCTAAGAAATGTGATCCCACCAAAGAGACAAATAATGTGGCATTTATTACACAATATTTTCCAATCAATGAACAATCCAATCAATGGGATACTCCTTGAACCAAGTGATTTTGGTTTTTATTTTGAAATGATTTAAATCCATTTCAGAATTCCAAAAATGAAAATAAATGATTGAGTATCCAAGTGACCATATGTTTATTCCTTTTAAAGGAAGAAGACAAGTGGAGATTTTTTTCTTGCTGGTATTTATTTTTTTGTTGAAAATTTGTGTAGGGGAAGGTGAATGATACATAAAATTAGAGCACAAAAAAAGTTGAAATTAATTGTACAATTATTATTATTATTATCAGAACTAAACTTGGAATTTCAAAGTTTTTTTTTTTGAACCCCAATTGAAGATGAAGTTAATATAATTTTCTTTCATTCCTCTTTCAATTTTTCTTTCTGATATAATTAATTAGTTCCTCTTACAAGTTTTTCTCTTAGAGCATAGTTTTCAAATTCCTCTCTGGAGTCAAAGTTAAATCTCACCGAAAGACTACTTTAATCATAATTTCATTATTGGAGTAGTAGGGTTGATTCGTGTCATCTTATTATTATATGTCGTTGTATTTTGAGGTGGATGAAGATGTATCTTTAAGGTATCTGCAGACATTTTATTAATCATGCGTAGTACAATTTTTAGTTTGTAGATACATATATTTTTTTTTTTGGACTTTTCAAAAGAAAAACCTTATTTGCTAACATATATAATTCTACGTCGACGAGTACGAGAAGAGAGAGGAAGATTTATAATATAGAAGGAAAGACAAAATCTCCTAATCGGTATGAAGTTAAATATAGATCATTTGGTCGAGGGTTGGACTTGTTAAAGAGTGCGACGAGTTGTTGGCATCGGTTATGTATCAAAAATGAACTTTGGTTAGATAGCTAGATAGTGAGCTAGGAGAAAATGAGGTATAATAAACTCCTAAATTTGTTTGATATTTTACTTCTTCATTTTACTTTTTTTTGTCTTTCTTTTCTATTAATTTTGAGTTGCAATGCTCCTCTTGATAAGAAAGTTGACTGCTTTGAGTCGAAAATTCGAGCTACAATAGAAACTAATGTAGATAAGAATAAAAACTCTTAATGTAGTTGTTGAATAATTTGACTGAGGCTCGATGATGCAATTTGTTCGAGGAGAGAATTGTCAGTGATGTGAATATATTCCGACATCGGCTAGAAGAGGGAAAGGATATCCCCAATATAAAAAATAAGGATAAAGCTTCTATCAATAATGAAGCATTTTGGGTGAAAAAAGAATAAATTTATGCAAAATATTTGAAAAACCAAAATTAAATTATACCGAACCTAACTACCCCTATCTTTAAGAAATAATATGATGTCTTAATTATCGTTAAGCTAAACTCGCAGTTGGGTGGATTAGATTTTCGTTTTGTGTTCCTTGACTAATCAAATCCATTTAATAGGAAAACTTTTAACTTTTCAAACTTTTATTCCAACTCAAATAATTCATAAAATGATTTTATGAAGCCAAGGAGAGAATTAATGACCTAAAAGAGAGTGGAGATGGAGAAAGAACTTTTGATCCGTCTCTTCAAAGTTTGATTCATTTCCACGCGTAAAGTTATGAAATTGTCCAAAGGGAGAGAGATCGAAAGTTCAAAAATTACAGGAAGGAGCATTTAATTTAATTTTATACTAATTGCCATATTTTCCACATATTAGGGATTAGTACATTGATATGTTATTTAGACACTATAATTACATAAAAAAGATGAAAGGTATAAAATTTACATTTTTGTCATAAAACAATCTCATTTAAGATGGTACCTATTATCCAATTTACTAGTGTATCCTTTTGTATCTACCTCTTAATATTAATTAATTTTTAAAATCCAAAATTGGTTACTTAGGTCACATTTTAAATTCCTTAAATTTTGACTAATTAGACTTTTCCAAAAGTAAAAAATACCAAATCTCCAAAATCTTCATCCAACTTTTCTTCTTCCGCTGTTGTTCTGTTTTCGTCCGTTCTTTTGTCTCCAGTCGCCGTCTCCATTCTTCTTCGTCGTGGGAACAGTCCGTCTAACTTCTCCTTCGATTCCGGTCGCCTGTCCATTATTTCCGTCCGTTTATCCCGAGGTTTCTTTTTCGTCGTCGGCCGCTCGTTGACCACTCAAGCCCTCCGTTTATTCCATATAGGTGTATGTTATAATGACTATAGTTTATATCACCATTGTTAAGTGTATGTTGCTTAAGTTTATAGCTGGATATAGTTTATATTTCCAAATGAAAAGGTATCCGGATATAGTTAATATCTCCAGATAAATAAATAAATAAATATATATATATATATATATATATATATATATCCATAGGAGTGTATGTTATAATGACAATAGTATTGAAATTTGACTAAAAATTATAATGAAATGAAAAAATATTTTGTAATAAATTTCATTATTTAGTAGAATATATTAAGGAGTAAATTTGAGGATTAYGAGAATAATTGAATATTTTATAATAAATCAATATATTAAGGAGTAAGTTAGGGGATTATGAGAATGATTGATTTAGGTTCCACAATGTTTACAAAATCAAATTTGTAACATTAATCTTTTGTATTTAAATAAAAGACTAATTATAATAAATATAAATGTCATAAATAAGGGTAAATTTGACATTTGAAAAAAATTTTAAATTCAGAAATCCAAGATTGTAAAATTTGTAAATATTGGACATTTGTGAAAATAAGTTTCCAAAATAGCTTATCACATTATCTCTCAAGATTATTGTATTAGGTTAGATTTTATTGAATTGTAAAAGAGTTTTTTTTTTTTTCAAAGGTAAAATAGTTTTTTTAGTACAACATAATGGGATTAGGATTTGAACTTACAATTTTTTGGTTGAAAATAAGTATGGTAACCGATTGTCAATTTGAGTGTAAAAGAGCCCTAAGATTACAAGTTATATAGGAGCGTTCATAAGACAAGGCCGACCTCATTTCAACTCCCATAATGGTCAAATTCTCTACTATATTTTTCGAGAATTTTGCAGAAATCGTATACTTTCTAGGTGTAGGAACATAAAGACCAAAGAGCCGCCAATCCGTGGATAATAATAAAAATAAAGAAAAAGAATTTTACAGGGATTGTCAGGATTTCCTGGGAATAGTGGGGATCAAGTTCCAAATTGGGAATTATTCTCCACTCATTATTATTTTAAATAATTTTTAAAAAGAAATTTCTAATTAAATGTTTAATTCCAACGATATATCTCATTCTCTATTTACATAGTAATATGGTTAAATCTATATAGATAATTCTTATTTAAAGAAAAAATTCTTAAACCACACCTAATAAAAATAATATAATATTTTGTGGACCATTTGAATTCTCATCCTTACAAAATTCAATTCCCCCTCTATTATCATTATTTAAAATAATTTCTCAATTAAATAATTCTTTAAAGAAATTTCTAATTAAATTCCTAATTCACATCAAATACCTATTTACATGGTTGAATCTATATGAATAATCCTTATCTAAAAAAAAAAAAATCCTTAAACTACCTAATAAAAATAAAATAATATTTCATCTTAAATGCAATAGACAAATTTCACCAATCCCCATCCTAAAGGGAGCCTAAATAGGATTAGTCTATTTTAACATAGTTAAATAGATAAAACACTTATTACTATTCCAAACATCTTGAACTAAAAAAGAAGCGCTAAAGACAATACTACATAAAAATAAAATATTTAACACTATCAAAGTTTAGAAATTTTAGTACCCCATAATTTTTATTAATGGTAGTTATAACGGGCACAAAGTAATTAGGCATGAAAGAATATATAAAATCTGTATAGTTAAAAAATTCTATACTTCATATGTGAGATTCCAAACATGCGATAAGATAGACGTTTTCAAAATGATCTCATACTTGGAATTTTCAACACATTTTAAAAAAATCTCACGACTTCACCTAAATATAATTTCCACTACAAATTAGACCTTAAAGATGCTAGCATCCACACATTCACATTAGAAGGAAAAATTTTCAAATACGATAAGATAGACGATTGTGAAAGTTCATAATTCCAATCGTTTTTAATTAATAGYGTGTGAAAGAGAGGAATATTTGCGATATTTCCTATTATTTCCCGCAACATTCAAATACGTGAGCTTAATTTTCAAAAGAGAACAATATAGACCACACACAACCTATCTAATTGAAGTGGGAGTTTGTACTTGCACGTATGCTCTACATATATATATATATATAGTTATTTGAGTAGCATCAACATAACATAAATTAGTACAATTGATTTGATGATCCATTCATAACTCCCAACGAATTTCACTATCCCCACTTAATTTTGGGATGTAGAAGCAGAACATTCTTATCGTATTAATTATTCGTAACAATTCTAAGAAATAAGTAGTTTAGCTCTCACATCTATGATGAACGTAGCGAAATATATACGATATCGAGAATTGAACGTACGTAAATGAATCATCAAAATGTAACTCGATGGTAACACGTGGGTATAGACTTAAATGTAACCCAGTTTCCGTACAAATTCCTTTTTGTTTGAGCTTAGGGTATATAGGTAAGTTAATGTCTGAMTTTTTTTCCACATAAAACCTTTTGTGGATCATATTTATTTTGCTTTTTACTCTTTTCATGCTCTCCATCAACAACTTATTCAAAATGAAAGACTTCATGGAGAGGTAAATTATATTTGATTAATTAGGTTAGGCTCGTGTTTCACAAAATAATTAGATTATTCAACGATGATAAAAAAAAATTCTACTCATATATTTTTGCATTTTATTGGTGATTTACCTAATCAAGGATAACAGTACATTGTTTAAAAAAATGATACAATTTTCTATACATCTATTAGTAAAATAGTTGTCATCTATCAGTGATAGTCGTTCGTTATATGAGATTACGTCATATTTGCAAATATAGCAAAGATATTTACTATTGATGCATAAATTTAGCCTATTAGAATTACAAAATTTATACCAATCTTCTAGAATATAAAAGAATTCGACAAAATCTATAAAATAGAAATATTACACACTTGTGTGGTGCATACACATTGCCTAGTCACAATTKAGGTTTTGTGTGAAGCGTAGCAACGGGTTATGAAGCATACCACTATATTATGAATATTTTCCCTCTATTTATATAYAGAGGAGAAAACCTAAGGACAGTGTGATATCTTCTCCTCAAATTACTACGAACTCCTCCTGAATTCCCTAGATAAGATATATAGAATATCCTGTCCTAATTAGAACATCATCTTCTTTTTGAATAATTAGGCTTTATCGGGACATTTTTCTTTAGAGTCATTGGGCTTCGGGTAATCTTCGAATCGGAATGAAGTTCGAGAGTCGAATCGGGTTGAACAACCAAATTACTGGGCTAGGCTGGTCGGCCATGGACTGGTTAGCCTTGGCTCAGCATATATAATTGGCTGAGCCGATCATCTGGCCAAGAGTCGACCTAGTGGCTTGGTCAAGCCGAACAGCCGGCTAAGGGTCGGCTTTGTAGCTTCGTCGAGCCGACAAACCGACCTATGGGCTAGTTGCCTGTAGGCCTTAGTCCTTGATCCTTGAACCGAGTCTGCTTCTTAAGTCTCGGGAGGCTGCTTAATATCCGAGTTTGGCTTGCCGTAGTTTGACTTTTTCTTTTTTGAGTACACTTGGGTTTGTTTTATTTCACTCATAACGTTTCCCACACATACTATTACACTTGTCCTTGAAAAAACAATGAGAATTTAATCACTTTATTTATTGATATATATATAGTATACGCTTTTTCATATTCTTTTTTAATACCTATATTGTTTGGGTTCAACAATATGTTTCAGATTTGCTTGCCTTAATTTTGATTAAAGTTCTAAATACGTTGATGAATTGATCAACTATGCTCAAGTCGCCAGCTTATAATTTTTACCATATATATATTTTTTCATATATGCATATATAACTAGCAATGATAATGCCAAATAATTCAGGTATTTAAATGTCCTTGGTCTTAATTATTCCAAAATAATGCAATTTTGTTACAAAAATTAATCCTCCATGATGGGGTAAGGTGAATAAGACCTGCAAAACATGTCCCACGTTCACACGCACATTAATTATAGAAGCAAACTGCCAAATTGAACCATTAATTTCCCTTTGGATTTGTTGAGCACACGGAATACGACCAAGGCCCTAGTGCCTCATCTTCCACTGTCATTTTCCTTCCAAATATATACTCTCCCCATTTCCTACCTCCATTTCCATTCCCGAAAAAATGAAAAAGAAAAAAAAATTATAATACTCCCGTAGTACCTATTTTGTTCATACTATGAATTTTGGTCATGGCCGCACACCAGTGTCATGCTAAACTTAATTAACAATGTAGTGAAATAGGATTGTGAGAGCATATCTCCCCTCCGGAGTCTCTTATTTATAGAAGAAGTTTCCTGAATTAGTTTAGGTGGACTAACTCATATCTGGTCTGGTTGGATGGTCCGACCCAATTGATTTGATTCGGGTGGTTTGACCCAAGTCGCTTCCCTAGTACCAATTCGTGTAAACTTTTATTCACTATTAACAACTACTCTATCCTAATTTTAACAATTGTATGGATTCTTGCGTGAATGAAAGGAGTTAATAATCCGGATCTATATACTATCACAGTACTAGAAATTTTCCTCGCCCATTCTCTCCCCCCATTTATTACCTTTCTCTTCAGCTCATTCCTCATCTGTCTCACTGAAGGAAGAAAAAAAGAAAAAAAAAAAACTCAAACTTCTTTGCCTTTTCCTTTATTCCCTTCTTTATTCTCTAAATCTCTGCATGTCTCTGCTGAAGAAGACCAATTGAACACCATTTTTTCTTCTCCTCTCTCTCTCCAAAAACCTTTCTCTTCTTTAATTTGCTTTTTGCAAGAACTTCTTCCATAACACAAATCCAACTGAAATCTGATCTCTTCCTCTATCTGAATCTCCTTGCAATTTTTGAATGATTGGTTGCTTTTTTCTGTTTACCAAAATCTCTTCCTTTCAGTATTTGTAAGTACTGGATAATAATAATAGTTAAAAGATGCCCAATGTTGGAAGGTTTATAAATATTGAAAAATCTTCTTCTTCTTCTTCTTCTTCTTCTTCTTCTTCAACCCCATCTCTTGATCTCTCTCTTCAAATTAGTCCACCCAATAACAATTCCACTGCTATTGAGATCAGCTCCCATGGAACTGGGGCTGATCATCATCTTCATCATCTTCCATCTCATCATAATTTCACCTCTAAATTCAATCAGAAAAATAATGGGGTTTGGCTTTTGGATCATCATGGCCTCTTTAGACCCATTAATGGCTTCCCAATTCATCATCCCAAACCTTCTTTCTCCTCCTCCTCCTCTTCAACCTCGTGCTTGAAGGTCTTCGGCTTCGCCTCGCCACCGTATCTCCGGTACCAGCTCGATTCCGCCCGGCCAACCGTGGCGAGAGGGCGATGCGCGAGGGCGCCGAGGATGCGGTGGACGACCAGCCTCCACGCTCAGTTTGTTCATGCTGTGGAGCTTCTTGGTGGCCATGAAAGTAGGGGTTTTGAACTTCCATAACCATACTTTTAACTTTCAAAGCTTTTTTCTTTTCCTTCTCAATTGCTTAATTATTATTGATTTGGGTGTTTTGTGTTCTTTCAGGAGCTACCCCTAAATCCGTTCTAGAGCTCATGGATGTGAAGGACCTAACCTTAGCTCATGTTAAAAGCCATTTACAGGTTCTTTTTTAACTTTTTTTTTTCTTTTTTAATATTACATCACAAATACGAAAATTTGAATTGGATGTAGTGAAAATTTGGTATGTCAAAACATATAGATTTCTGAATGCATAATAAATGTCTGTACCTTCTTACACAGTAAACCCTAACTGAGAGAGAGAGATTGTTCACCATTTTCAGATCAATAATGCACTATGTAAATTACACTGCCTAAAAATTTGGACCCTTTTTCCAAATAAACTATGCAGTAAATAAAAACAATACAAATCAAATCAAATCATTATCATAATCATAACTCAACTTTCTACATGAATATAATGTATATTATAATAATGCTTTCAACACTTTGAATTTCCAAGCTCTCTCTTTTTTCTTTTTTTCAGTTAACAACTTATATATAATAATAATTAATATAAAAATTTTTCAATGACTTTTTGAGTAGATGTTTCGGGCTCACAAGACAACCGACAAGCCTGCAGTTTCTCCAGGTAATTATCAGTTGGCTTATCCTTTACCCTTTTCTTTTATCAGCCTTATCCTTTTTTTTTTCTTCTTTTTTTTTTAATTAAAATTACCTACGAAATTTATATATGTCCATTTTCCCTAGCAAAGTCCTAAGTTATAGGACATATGTACCTTGTACGTCTGTTATTAACGCATGAATAGTATCTTCCCATCGGTTTTAAATTTACACTCCTAAATTTCAGAGTTGAATTTTAGTTTATAACGATTTAATCTCTATATTTTCAAACGAGTAACAAATTTATAGTTAGTGGACTATAAGATAATTAACAATTTAGTCGATGTAGTTTAAAGTTTTGTAACAAACTAGTCCCAATCATGAAAACTGTTATTAAGATTATTTGATAAGGTTTCTATGTATAGATCAATAGATCGATAAACATGTTTATAAATTATAATACTAAATTGCTATATATAATAAGAGTCCACACTAAATTTAATTTTGTCGATATTTTTAATGACATTTGGTTTTACAAACTTTAAACTTGAGAGGCTAAGTTAATTATATAATAAGAGTCCACATTAAATTTAATTTTGTCGATATTTTTAATGACATTTGGTTTTACAAACTTTAAACTTGAGAGGCTAAGTTAATTACTAAAATAGTAAAGTTCAGCGACTAAATTGTTACCCATTTGAGAGTACATAAACTAAAAATTGTTACCCTCTAAAGTTTAGAAATTAACGCTAAAAAATGTTAGAATTATGTTTAAAGGTGGGTCAGAGGGTAGCTCCGAGTCTCCGGAGGACGATGTCTTGTCGATCTCGATGAGGAGTGCAGCCATGGATGGAAGCCTTCAACTCTTTTCGAGCTATGTTTCCTCTAATAGTCCCCTTTCCTCAATGAATTCCACGAGGTAAATTAAAAAATAATAATCATACAATTCCTAATTACTATGCTTTCCTTGATGATTTGAACAGTGAAATATAAAATTAAAGATTTGTTAATTGTTGTATGAATTTATAGACATTCCTAGAAAATTTAAGAGTTTCTTATAAATAATCATGAGGTGTCATCTAGAAAAGTAGTTCGTGTCTATTATAAACCTTCCTATGGAATCTTTAACATTTAATGGAAAATGAAAACTCGCCTTCATCTTCAAAAAATTTCGTGGGAATGAAAAATAAATGGGAGTAGGGATGGGGATTGAGAAGTCATCTCCATTTCCGCTCCGCCCCGAGACTCCTGCTTTTAAAGGGATTATTCAAAGAGTTTAAAATAAAAGGGTTTTGATCATATAAAAGTCTTAGCTTCCCTCCATTCCATTTCACTTAATTGAAGTGTTTCATTTAGCCTCCTTTTTTTATCTTTCTCACAAATCGAATGAAATGATTTTGGTATCTCTTTTCCGAGAAAAAAAAAAAGAAAAGATTTTTGATGAGTTTGTTGATCAAAGGTGAAACAAAATCCAAAGAATTGATCTTTCTGACAACACAAAGAAAAGAAGCATAGATTTTGACGCCATAGCCTCGTGTTTACGTTATGAAAAATCCTCTGCTTTGGTTTCTGCAAAGAAGAAGCAGAAGAAGAGGAAGAATTGAAGCTTTATTGTCCTTTTTTTTTTTTTCCTTTTTTCATATTTTCTATTTGGGTTTTGCTTTTTTCTTCAGTTTCTCTCTTCTTTTCTCGAAGATTTTGTTTGTGCTTCCATCACTCAAACGTGGCTATCAAATGCCCTAAAAGAACAGTTACAACCCTGGAAAAGCAAACTAAGGCTTCCTTCCTACTTTTTAGGTTCTCAAAAGATTTATGTTTTAAGTTTAAGTTTCAAAAGATTTATGTTTTAAGTTTAAATTTTGAACTTTCATACTTTTTTTTTAATACAATAAATTGGGATACCGGGATTCAACCTTAACCTTAAGAGACGGAATGATGTCAATTACGAGCTATGCTCACGTTGGCTTCAACTTTTATGCTATTACTTTAGTACATTAACTTTTGAACATTTTATTTTAGTCATAAATTTTAAGATTTGTGTATATTTAAGGTTCGTTTGATAATGTTTCCGTTTCTTATTTATTGTTTTCAACTTATTAAGAAATCTAACCATTTGACAACTATTTACGTTTCTTATTTTTTATGTTTTTAGAAACATCTTCAAAATTGTATAGAAATTTTGAAAACAATAAAAACAAATTTCTTGCTTTCGTTTACAATTTGTTCCAAAACATAAATGAAAATACTATTTTATCATTTTTTATCCAGACATGTAATTTAAATGAAGACATCATAAGAACTAAAATTACAAAGGCTAGGTATTATATTTTAACCGTTATATGTTATTATACGTAACGGTTTATAAGTGTTGCATTTGAAATACCAAACACTTGAGAAGTTTCCATGGATGCATATTATATTATAACCAATCCAATATAGTATAAAGGCAGTTGATCTTAATGAATTTTTGTATACATGTAGGGACTAAATTCAGCTCATATCAGAAGCTCTTATGAAGAGTTGTAGTTTGATTGCTACAAACCTAATTTAGAGATGGCATTAGGCAGATGATATATATATCTGATTGGCTTGCTCAAGGAGATGTATGCTTTAGTGTTTTTTTCACTTTCTTTCTTTTCAATTATGTACTTAAATTTAATATTAAGTATAAATATCTCATTGAATTACATATAAATAAAAGTTTAAGGGTTATCATAGGAGAAGCTTATTAAGTGTTTCATGACGTACTATAGGTATTTTTTGCATGTTGCATGTGATTTAATTTGAGATCTTTTGAGCTTAATTTGCAGTATTTTAAATCCTTTGGTAATAGTTGTTCTATCGGGGTAAGAATTGATTGAAACTTTAGCATGGGCTCACGAACACACACCTTTGGCTAATTTGATTCGATGGAGAGATAAACCTGTGGCTCTTTCAATTTTCAAAGCAAGATTAGTTGGATTGAATTGTGCATTCAATTAATTTCAATCAAATAAGTCGTATCTTATTCAGACCGATAAATAAAGTTGAGGTTATAGTTAAAACTACTAGTAAAAAACCGAAATAACTAGTGATAGTAGACATGACGAGGCTAAATGGAATGTGCGGGCTCGGAGGCTCAAAGTCTAGCATCGGCTAGTAGGCCGACGACACCGGCAGAGGCAGCTCCAGCTCTCCTGCTGTACAACCCCCTCCTTCTGAAAGAATTTGAACTAATTGTGCTACAGTTGAGCATTTCTGTCCAATCGCTACATAGATACAATACAATGTCTCACTCTCAGAGATGGCCCTTGAGTTCATTTGCTTTTGGTTTAATATGGTATCGATAGCTATAGCTGTTTTTCCAGTTTGTCGGTCCCACTCATTTTTCATTAGAGATAGGGGGAGCTATGATGCAATTGGAGCTTATCGTCAGAAAAGAATAAATTTAGATTGTTTTTTTGTGGCTCCGATGGCGACTAGATCAACGTGTTATTGCTTCAAGAGAAGTGACAAGAATGGACTCATAAGATGGGCGGTCAAGGAAGCGATTTCATTTGTGTTATTTGCCAAGGGAATGATAAAGGAATTCTCTATACACGGTTGAGAGATGACCGTATTGTTGCACATCCTGAATAAAGTACCATAGGAAAGCTTCTAACATAAGCTTTTGAAAATGAAAGCGTGTAGAACTCAGATCTGTCGACTTTCTCTTCGATAAAGTCGTAGGCATAGCCTTAAAGTTAAGGGCGAGGTTCAAACGAAGAAAGGCTTACGGTGGATACCTAGGCACCCAGAGGCCAAAAAGAGAAGGACTTTCCCTCTGGAGGTAGGAAAATCATGATCGGAATAGCGGACCCAAAGCTATGGAACTTGGGTGTGTGTCTTTTGTCGAAATGGAATGGTCTTATCCTTTTATTTTTGAGGGGATGATAAGGCTGCTAATCCTGGTAAGAACCTTCTCAAGTAGGAAGCTTTATTTATGCTATTAAAATAAGATTAAATATTGAAATGAGAGAATATATATATTATTCACCACAGTAGCATAAGTGATATACAATAATTATACTAATACTACTAAAGTTGTAAAACATATACGAATCATGGATAAGGCTGCACACGAGTTGAGTTGAGGCTTAGAGAATTTTTTGGACCAACCCGAAAATTCAAATTTAAATTGTGTAATGAAACCTTTGCGTTTTGGATTAATTGTTGTTTGAATTCTTTTGGGTTGGGGATTTCTTTTACAACCCTAAATTGTGGTAATGATAAACCTTTGCTTTATGTGGAGGAGAGAATTAAATACAAATTTTATTTATTTATATTTAAATTATGTGATCCGTACCATCTCTACTTGATTATAGGGACCCTCTTTGAAAATAATGGTTCACAAGACTTTTTAACATATTACAATTTCAAAAATATTATATTGCCAACTGACCTAAAAGAGAATTTTTGGTATTTATTCAATAATTCATTAGATAATTAGTTAGTTTTCATATATATTTGATAGAATCCAGTTTTTTCACAAATATATATACACTTTAGTTTGAGTTTATAATTATCCAACCAATTTTACAGGCCAAAATTTGAGTTTATAAATATTTTTTTCAAGCTCAAATAATTGATTATATGAGTTATAGTAAAGAACTTAATATTTTTTAAGACATTCTCTATTATATATATTTTGATTCGATTTTCCACCCCACGACTATTTGAAATAAAAAATATATATTACAAAGAACTTGATTAACGATAATTAATCACCATAGGCCAGTACTTAAAATCATATGAAAAGATTTTAGATGACACTTCAAATTTTGTTCGTACAATAATCATAGTTGATAGTCCAGTTTAGAGGATGAAGTGGGGACACCCCTACCTCTCATTAGCTGCCTTTGCTCAATCCATGTCACGTGACGGCGGTGTCTTAAATTGGAGGAGTAAAGAGAAGAAAAATTAWTGAAGGAGGCCGCCATAATCATATTTATTTTGGCTCGGGAAGAGGGCCAAATCTAGGCCATGTTACTGTGAGGACAAAGCGAATTAAGCCACATGCCTCATAAAATTAGATCCACAATYCATGCGTTGTGGTCCAAATTGCAGAAAATGTAACTTCAAAAATAAAATAAATAAAATACTGYCATTGGGTAATCGATATTGATCTACAATTTCTTCTCATGAAAAAAAATATTGATCTACAATTTTATGAGCTGTAAAATATTTAGGATAACGGATTTCATATATATTTTTTTCTTGGGTAGGAATTCAACCATTTCATACACTAACTTCGTGTGGCACTCATAAATAATATTTTAGTTGAATCTAACAAAAATTTAGTTTAAAAATTTTAATAATTATGTGTATTTAATCTTTAAATTTTAAATTTTTTTTTTCACAGTACAACAAATATAAGGAGGAAGGATTCATCTCTCGATAAGAAAAAGAATATCGTGACTATTGAGGTATATTTATGTTGGTCCTTACCTAAACATCATTGAATCATATGTGGTTTATTGATTAGAGTAACAAGTGATTTGATGTGGATAAAATAAGATTGTGCCAAACATGTATATTATGACCACTTGTGCACCAAAATTTTTGATTCGCCCAACTTGTATTTAATTTATTCGTTTGTTCTAGGATGTCACGTTAGATAAAATCATCGTTTAATAGTCCAGTTAAAACTAAAAACCTAAAAGATAATTGAAAATTTTGAAGTAAAAAAATGAAAGAAACACGAAAGAGGTTTCTGGGACTTAAATGATTGATTATTATTGAGACAGAAAAAAGATAAAAATGTGTATAATTTGCATAATTTAAACTTTTGTCAAAATATTTAAATATTTATTTGACAAATACGGGGTAATATTTTCACATTACATTCTTTAGAAATTTATGGTGAAATGTTTTGTTAAACATTGCTAAAATTGAGGATGTGAGTCTTTGTGAGACATTAAAAACAGAATCGGCTGAAAATTTTGGAGATCCAATATTCTATCTTAGAAGTATTTTTATATCTAAGGTCCAGTCCTTGTTTCATCTTTCTTCTTATTATTATTATTAACATGTGTGAATAGGTGATCGAATTTACCACCCCTAAATTTGAGATATATGTTAATTACCACTATTTTTAAAATTTATATTTGATTTCTTATAATGTCTTTGACTTTAATACGTTATTTTCATCTTACTTGTTATGGGGAGATAAAAGAAGAAGAGACCAAACKACGGGGGCTAAAGGAAACCCGAGAGAAAGCACGAACCAGGAAAGGGGGGCCGGCACCCGACGACTTGGGCCGACCCCTGACCGACCAGTGGTAAGCACCGAGCAGTTCCCAACCCCCCGTTCGAGAACTGAAGCGGTTCAT